ATTATTGAATCTTTAAACGTGAATGTTATATTCAAGGTTTTTTTTTATATCCAATCATTTGAAGGTACTGCCAAGAATAATTAGAGAGTACATGAAATTAAATGAAGTTCTACAACTTTTTTGCACCAGAAATTATTATCGAGAAATTACTTTAACAAATTTATAAAAATAAAATTAATTTTGATCTGTAAAACAATTGATTACTTTTTTGGAAATACTGATAGAAAATCGAAAATTTTAAAGACAGTGTATTAACATTAGAATATAAAAATTAATCGAGTTTTATATTAGCACATATGTTAAATAATACAGGATAAGAAAAACTTATATATGTGATACATATATACGTATTTTTGTCATACTTCGCGGTGAGTACCCTTATCAACATTGCCAAAAAGATTTTAATTAATAATTATTGTACATATATCTGCACGATTGCTTGCAATTCAGTCAAATTTCATATTTATAATTCCTAAAATACAATCCACAAATTACAGCAAAACCGAGAGTTTCGGGTCAAAGTGGGTATGTAAATTTGATCTCACGACTTCGCAAATTTGATAAACAATTGCGTTGATACAACGGAGCAACGCGTAATTTGATAAGTACATGAAATGTTTATTCTGATAAAGTGATTATCAATTTATATGTACTATTCTCTGAAATATCTTATCACAAACGATATTACTGTTACAACAATGGATATTACGTAGGGCAGTGCATTACCTTCTTAATGAATTGGAATTTCATTATTTAATAGTAAAATAAAATTGTATCATATTTTTTGACAATTGTTTTTATTTAATTTTCCAGCAGTCGAATCTGTAAACTTTATATCAAGTTTTATTATTAGTTGATTTTACTTGACTTATCGAAAAAGAAAGTTTGTAATTTTATGAACATTTTGAAAATTTTAATGATAAACTGGCTAACTGAATTTGCTTATGAAACTAACATTGACAGAAAAGATTATATCCAAAGGTTGCTTTTGAAATAATTTTAATCATAAATTCTGAAGATTAAAATTCATAGTTCATAAACCCTACTTTTTATTATGAAAATATTATTTAACGTATTTCTGTTTTCTTTAAATACAAAAAAGTGAAACATAAAGATACTACCACTAAAACAATTTTTCATTTGATTTTGTTACTTATGATGTTGTTTTTTAAATATATGTCTTAACATAAATTAAATCAACTGAAGTACATTTTTATGATTTGCGGCTACCATTATTTCGTAAAAGTTAATGGATTCCTAAACAATCGTTTAATCTGCTTTTCACATAATTCGATACAAAACTTAACTTTAAAGTTTATATTTAGTTTAAATAAACAATTCAATGAAAATGTTTAAATATTAAATATGAAGACTGCGAGCTATGTTAAATACATATTTGTCATGTATATTCAGATTTTAATTAGTGTACTTACTGTTGAAGTTACAAGAAGTTAATAATTAATTCTATTGCCTCAGTTATATTAAAAGTTTATGCCAGTAAAAACAAAAGCTTCAAAAGTTTCGTTTATTTAAACTACATTTCGTTAATTCAAACAATAATTATTGTAAAAAAATATCTCTCGTGAAGCTAAAAGTAAAATACTTGTTTCAAAACACATTATTCTTTAGAACACGACACGTTCCGTATGTTTTGAACAACATATTATAAATAAAAGAAATTCAACAGTACTTAAGTGTTAACTGATTAAACACTGAACAGCTGAACCTTCCAATGCATTTATTTCTAAAGCTTTTGAATGTATTGACTCCAAACTATGCAAAGGCTTTGGTACATCAGTGTCGAAATACATGTCTCATAATTATTTCGTAAAAACTCTCGTTCATAATACACACGATACTAACAATAACTTTGAGAAAATCTTGATGCGTTTATATTAACCCTTTGCATTCGACAATATTTCCCTCTATGAACGTTCATTATTTTCTAAGGAAATATTGACAGTACTGTTTGAAACTTACATAAAGAAACGTCTTGCATAAATTAAAGGAGAGAATTAAATTATTCAAATAAATTATTCAACGTTTCATATTAAATTTTTACTTTTATAATTTTCCTGTGTTAAATCAAACGGCTACTGAGAATCGTCTCTCGAGTGTAAAGGGTTACATGTGTTCTTAATTTTTAAAGTGTGAATTGTTAACGAAAACATTCATTGGTTAAGAAATACATAGAGAGGATAAAAACGTGTGAAAGATTGGAACAGTAGGTCTTGGATATCAATGCTTTCCGTTCAAGTTCACCATTATCTGTGAGGTTCATTGCTCAACCGTTATTGTTTCCTTAGCACGACGAGGATTTTTAACGAGACGTTTGCAGTTCACTTATATACAATTAAGAAAACAATCAGGCTAGCGTAAACGAAGAGTTCGAACTCTCCCGAGGATGATGAATGTGGTGCGCCTATGTTTAACTCGTTAACGCCGGCGTTGTAACTCATAATTCGTTATACCGGGTGGTTCCATTAACCGTACGTCGTATGAATTAATTTTACAAAATTTAATAAAAAATTTGAATCATATATTCATTCTCTTTAGTATTCGAATTCAGTATTACGAAAACTATATTTACAAAGAAGGTCAAATTAACCATAATATGAAAAAATAATAAATAATAAATGATAAAAGGCAAAAATACCGAAATTATTACACCGAGTCAACGGGTTAATAATTTCTAGTACAAAAAGAAAGTCTGAGAATATTCGAGATAAAGAAGTAAATTATTTCTAGGTAACAGGTTAATTGTATTTTTCTCCATTGGATCATAATGTGTTAGAAATTAAAAAATCACTTTTTGGATACAAAATCGATGGGAATAATTGAAACATGGTTTCAAAAATATTCCACTTTTTATTCGTTTTAGAATTGTGGGAACGTTATTTACACATCTAAAATGAATGAACAAAATTAAAAATGGTACTATAGACAACAACTTTCTTTGTATCGACAATGGCACATGCTTCCTAATGAGATAAGCTTATTTGTACTACCAACAGTACTGTAAGAAGATGAGTCCATGACAAGAGGTGTCCTTCGTTCACAGTTTCATAGTTTCGATTGGTTACGTGTAACTGTATTGACGAATAATAAATTAGAGATCGAAAATATTAGGAACTGAAAGATAAATAAATAAAACCAGTAAAAAATTGAATGAGAAAAACTGAAGAATTGATCGATTTATCGAATTCCTCAGCCTAGCCATCAAGTGATCTCCTATCAGTGCACGCCGGCGTTGACGTGTTAACCGAACAATGCTCTACGAGGCATTTAAACTAACGTTTAAGATTAATGGAAGTAGCTGGAGAACTTTACGAGACGATCAATGTTTCTACAACATAAATTTTTATAGGGAAAATTCGTAGCGTAACCACGCGTCGAACTTATTTAAGCTGTATAGTTTTCTCACGATTAGTACCCGGTCCGATCTGTAATCTAATCTCAGCGAGCCAACAATTATAATATATTATTATTATTATATATATTAATCAGTTAACTGCGTTTTATAAGTATATACGTCATCTTAAAGCTTGAAATGACACTAATTATTTCAACGATAAATTATTTATTTTTTCAGATAAACGTGTACTTCTTCTTTATTTTGCTTTGATTTTTCATTAAAATATACTCTAAATGCATTCGCCCTGCATTTGCCGAGTACACACTTCATTTTTTTATTGTATTGCGCGCAAAACGAGAGATTTTTGAAATTACATTCCACGGTTAACAGGTTAATATATTTTGTAATGCATATATATTAATACAATGACAAAACCTTTTAAGTCACACTTTACTAGAAGAAAATCCATTATTGTAATTCATTAAATAAGTAAATATGTTCGAAAATCTCGTTTTAACCAGGAAAACCTTAGAATTCAACTGGAAAAAGTGAAAAATAGAGAAGTTTAACATTGCATTAATATCCCCTCATTCATCTGTTTCGATCCAATTAATTTGAAATAGAGGATCTCGGCTCGGATCTTATCTTGACTTCGAATCAACGCCGTTGCACGATTAGTGCTCGGTCGCAGTTCCGATTTTCGGGTACTAATCGCGAGAATACTGTAGTCGACTAACTCGTCGAAAATGGTCGCAAGAACAACTTATTGTCCATTGCAGCAAACGTGGCACTCGCAACGTCATAGGGGCGGATAAGTCGCTCCGAGAAATCCAATTACGAATTCAGAAATGGCTCTTCGCGCCCTTCGTCGCGCGGTCCGATTAGTGTGCGTGAGCGTGTCAGCGAATCATGTTCCAGAATTGAAAATCTGTGTAAAAAACGCGTACACTTTCGAATCTGGCTACTCAGATGAGAATGCCAGGTTCGCTGCAACGGGCGGTACTTACTTCGCGCACGCGTGATCATTCCCCAAGCGAAGAAATTTAATTATTATTTGTACCGATCAGTTGACGACGCTCTAAATCGAAAACAAATGGGCAAGGGGTATTCGACAAATGTAACTTTTCTGTTTACGAGCCGTTCCATGGGCTTACGAGCCAATGAACCGCAGTACCGTGTAATCGCAGGTATTAATTAGTAGATACACGTGTAATCCCGTACAAACAAACAAACAAACAAATGAGAGGAAAAAAAAACGAAAGAATGATATTCGATTGTGCTTTTCGTGAGAGGGAAAAAATAAAAGGACTCATAAGTAAACACAATAGTGCTGTAGCTAAAGAGAAAGACGGTTATAGTTTCTATTTTGAAAATTATATTTTTTTAACTTTATTAATTTTTGACTTCCACATACATATATTTATATATATATACATATAATTGTATATACGTATTCACATAACTATTATATACATATAAATATATCTATAT